TCAACTTTTGCAAATAAAGTTGTCTGTCGAATTCTGCGTTTAGAATGAGTTACCGACCACCATCGTAATCTTATAATCATAATAAAGCATAGATTTAAATCATGAGTTTGAAGCCAACTATTGGTATTTTATATAGGCCTACTGGAAATATTAGGCAGTATATTTCTATATATGCGTCTGTGCACTATCCACCAGGACTAGGGTTATTTCTCAGTTATTTCTCTGGCTTGTTCTTTGTACTTCCATTTACTGAACTAACAGCAAAAATAATTTGGACAGATCTAGAATTGACGTCAGCATGCATTCAGCTGACTTCTGGTACAATGTAATTACGTTCGTGTACGTTCAGAAATAATGCCCTCATGTTGCATGGCATAGGTGTAAATCTCAGTGCGTGGGTTAATGAGTCGAGTTAACACAGCGTGGTTTAAAAGGAAGATGGTCCTCAACTCTGTGCGAGCATGATGAAAATATTAATGTAATTGCGGATACGGGGGCAAGGAAGGCAGATTCTATCTTCTTTTAAGGTTATGTAGACCCAGGTCATTTATCCTACATTTTCTGTGAAAATCAGATTTTAAGAGCTTGTTTCTCAAATGGTGTGCGTCCTTTTTTCTAGAGAGAGTCCATAATCCAAAAAGGAAGTCAAACGGGGATCATGATACAGTTGGGGTTGAGGACACACTCCGTCATAAACCAGAAAGAAAGCGCACTGTCACTGACTGTGAAGTATATCATTTATGTTTCTTCGGATATTTCTCAAGTTCTTTCTTAACTCGGGTGAGGTTGCGTTACATTGCTTTTGTTTGTATAAATGGTAGGGTGGTACGTCATGTCCCTCCACTGAACTTTAAATATGGCTGGTAGACAAAGCAAATGGTAAATCAGTGAACTTGCTCAATACATGTTTGTCGTCTTTAAAATAAAAGAAACTGTAGATCCTACTTTAAAATGCGTCTCTGTATAGAGACTGAACAGAAAAAGAAATTGCTCTGAGAGTTAGGACCATGCCATTGCTTGTAAGCTATCAGATAGTTTGACAATGTCAGACCTTGAACAAGCCTCAAATAAAAATAGATGGGAAACCCCTCCATAACATTTTGTGTAAGGCTGGTGACGAACATACAACAGAGGTGAAAACAACTTCCTTTGGTGGAGATAAATATGACTTCGGAAACCTTCCAAAGGTTTTAAACCTCCAAACCTTATAGTAACACGCTGTTCGAGCAATATCATTTCATTGCCCTTAGGAGAAAAATACTCTACACGGATTAAGTCACCTGCAGTGTAAGGACGAATGAAATTGTATCTTGTATAGGTAAGTCTATAGAATAAGATTAAATAAGCATAAACGTGCTGCGCTGCTGTCATCAACTGAAAATCATCAGACCTCACGTGCCAATTTTTCTTTCCACAGTTTTCATTCTTTGGCACTAATAAATAATAGATTACAAGGAGCGCGTAGGGGAGAGAAGTCTCTTGCAACGTTTTAAATTTCCTGTCGCATGCGATAACTATTTGGTCATCATTATTGCAAAAAAAAAAGGGAGTCATTAATTTCGACATCAGTTCCCGGAGATACCAAAAGGGAATCAAAAAGTCAGTATTTTGATAAGCGCTTCAGGCCTGTAGCCAGCAATTTCAAAAAGGGCATTTTTTTCTGAAAAAGTGGACCTTTTTCCATAGAAACTTCATGTACCTGATCAAATTTCACCCAGAGTGGACCTTTTTCCAGCAAAAGGGGCGGTTCTTTCGAACCCCTCGCCCCCCCTCCCCCTCCCTGGCTACGGGCCTGCGCTTTATTCTTCAACCTCAATTCTTTTGGAGTGTTTCTGATATAATATCATATTAGGCAAGGGTAAGTTTTAGAATAGATTCTTGTCTTAGTCAGAATTTTATGTTTAACACACAGGTGAGAGCTATTACACAACACTTTTTCTAATTATATTCAAGTCAGCACACATGGTGAATAGCTCACTTTGAAATGCAACAATTGCGGTCCATAGTTCTAACATGAGATAATGGATTTAACTTCCCGCCCTCAAAAAAGTAAATAAATAAATAAGAAAATACATACTATATAATAAACACTATAGAACCTTAAATTGTTGATGATCAAACTTTGATGACTTTTCTGTCTTCCAATTTGAAATCGGTCATCATATTGACCTACATCTGTACCTGTATCTGTCAGTATACGTCTAAAGAACCACTGCTGGTATATAATGACTACCAGATCCGTATTTAGCATTAAACGTATTTTGAAGTCAGAATACACCTGTTTTAATTAAAACATTTAAGATTAAACCTACCCTAATTATAGTTACAAGTTTTGTCTGTCGGTTAAAATATTGTGGATCAAGCTGCCTTATCAATACGCATAGCTTACATTTGGCACCCGAAAGGTTCTTCCAGACGTTTTCAGAAAAAAATATCATTTACCCTTTCTTAATTATATACTATTCAGGCCCGTAGCCAGCAATTTCAAATGGGGGGTTCGTTTTCTGAAAAAGTGGACCTTTTACCATAAAACCTTCATGTACCTAGATCAAATTTTATCCAAAGTGGACCTTTTCCCAGCAAAAAGGGCGGTTCTTTCGAACCCCCTGAACCCCCCTGGCTACGGGCCTGCTATTCGCTGTCTATATATTTTCTATGGCCGATAAACAAGATAGAATAATCAAGATTTATTTATAAAAAAGAAAATAATAACATCATCATGGAATTTCCAGGCACTGTCTGATCATGATTACGAAATTGACATTCCCAACCATAATCCCGCGTCTTTAAGAAGCATTAAATCCTTTCTGATGTCACGCAAAGTATTCCGTGAAGAGCAATCATGGTTTATTTTGCAATCTAGAAAAACGCTAGTTAGATAATATTTTTAGGAGAAATGGGGTGTAAGGCTCTATTCCCATAGATTTTAGATCGATCTATCCCCGCGGGGAGTCTCACTAGATTACTTTCAGATAATCCGACTTAAACGCCGTCCCGCCTACTACAAGCTGTAAGAGGGTAATTAACTTTCGTGTCCGCCCGGCTGACAGCTATTTAGCGTGAACCCCCAGGGAGTTAGGTCGATCTAAAGTAGGTCGATCTAATCTATGGAAATGGGGTGTTACACACACAAGTAATGCATGTTGCCGTTTTTTTTTTTTCATTCAAATCAAGAGAAAAAAACCACAAAATTTGGGTTTGTTGATTTTCTAAATTGCCTTCGTTTATTGGGGCTTCAATTGGACATTCTGGTAAGGCCATAGCCCTGTCAGTGAATTCAATTGTTATTTGCCGTCATTGAACAATTACAGAACTATGCACCATGTAGGGAATCCAATCAAAATAACATAACATTGTATTCCCAGTTTCCAAGCAATTACTGATCAAATGAAAAACCATTTAATGCCTCTCTCACGTTACAAACTCAATCAATAACCTAAGGCAACAATCCGTTCTGGTTTGTTTTCAGTATCAACTTATTTAAGTGACAACTCCAAAGAATATCAAGGGCAATGCTCTATCGCGGTATCAATTTCAATTTTTAATCTTGTTAGTGTCAAGTACAGCATTTCTTATAGGCAGAAGGCAAATAGGATTGCCTTGTAATGAGAAGCAATGCGTTGGGTTTATTGGCTTCAAGAAGGTTTTTAATCTGTCTTCTTCGATACGTATGCGCATTAGACTCAAAACAATATGTATTGTGATAGAACATATCCCTTGGACAATTTCATTTCCTGGTTTTAACATTTCAAATGGAGTGTATCAATCCCATTATTGTTGAGTATTGACAACTGGGAAGATATCCTGCCAACGTAATTGAGACGTAAAATGACTGTCGGCTCCGTATTTAGTATCATACATACTCTGAACTCGTAAAACCCGTTTTAATAAGATCTTGTAAGATTAACGCTAACCTATCCATAGTTGCATGTTTTGTTCGTCAGTTCAATAATTGCGGATAGTTTTTCTATCCTCGATATACAAGATAGAATGTTCATTATTTATTTCTTAAAAGGAGGAAATGACAACTTCGGGGAATTGCCAGCTAGTGTCTGATTATTGTTATGAAATTGACATTTTTGAACTCAGAAAACACCTGTTCTAATAAGAACATTTGACATTTACGCTACCCAATTTATAGTAACATGTTTTGAACGAGCAAGCCCTGCTCCTGTACATATTACTTAAAGATACAGTGCTATGTTAGACGTATTTTCGGGATACTACTGCTTTTATAGTTTTTTCCTGAATAAATTTTACCATAATCATTGCAGCATACACATAGACTGAGTAAACATGTTAGTGCGTCTTTTAGTACAATCCAGCGAGAAGCTTGAATGTTAAAGTATTTTGTCTTCTCTAACGTTGTGCTGTGTCTAATCTGAAGCAATTCATTCTCAGATTACTGTGCAACTAATGCAATGCAGATTTTCACTGGTGAACATGCCAGTTTACGATGTGCACCAAATTAACCATCCATCACTCTGTGGTCGATTAGTGTACCGTATTTTTGTAAAAAAAATAAAAAAAGGAATAGAAAAGGAGGCTGATTCTTTTTTTTTTCTTCTGGGAAAAGTGAGAATTTGATGAATTTCCAGCATTTTCCTCTTTTTCACCCCCTGCTTCTATTTCATTTCGACTTACCTGATACTAGCTGCTCAACACTATCTCCTTTTATTACCTTTGTTTCCTTTGATGCTCAGTACAGAAAAACTATAGTCTGATTTTTATCTTTACTTCACCCTACATGTACATTACGAACACAAAATTGAACTATATAAATTATGATATTCATTTTATATAATGACATATGGCCGGTCCTAGAATAAATATATCAGTAAATATATGAGACTCCGCATAAGTTCACTGAGGGATCAAAGATGAATTCTTCTAAGGAAGGGATACTTTTTAGGAGAAGATAGATATTTGAACTTAATGGAGGGCTGTGTGATCCGCTGAGCCCGCCCCCCACCACCACCCCCCACTCCCACCACCACCAATTTCGTGCCTCAAGTTACCCCTTGTGTCAACACTGTGTTCACTTTCTACTTTAACTTTTTAAGCAACTTCTCAGTCCTGCCAGGCAGACTCCAATCGCGAAGAGAAGTCCAATGCATCCCGATACGATCATTCCTATGGCTGCCTTGGTGCCAGGTATACCCGAACAATACTGGAAGAAGACAATACAGAGGCAATTAAATTGTGACCATATATATATATACATGAAAACCAGTCAAAATGGCTGCCAGGGTAGACGAATATGACCAAAGTTTATTCGGACTGTAGGCACATATTTGCAAATCTTTGATTTCCATCTCTGAAACCCAAATAATACAGGCGCTGCATGGCTAGCCAAATAATATTACCCATCTGAGGATATTGCAGAACCCTTACATGCATGCCATATATCACTGAAAACAATAGTCCTGTCGTATTGCACTTTGTCGATTAAAAAAGGAAAAGAAGAATTTACTCCACTTACCGTTCTGTTTACTCTTTCTATGTCATCAACACATAAAATACCAAATGTGAGGTCTAGGGTGAATCCAGAAATAAAGATTATGACGAACAAGAGTCCAAAACAGAAACCAGCGCAACCCTTCATGCAACTTCTTAGGCATTCGCGATCAAAGGAACTAGTGCAGTTGAGGCAACTGTTGCAAGCTCTCCTTCGAACATTGCGGCAGCTTTCTTCACACCCTCTATACCAACCGCAGTCAAAGTACCACTCCATGACAAGAAAATTATCCTGCAAATAACATTGTATAAAATAACATATGAACAATCGTCAACATTTTTGCGGAACGTACAGCATCTGCCAGTGTACTGTAAATATGCCAAAGTTGCATTGTCCTCCCCCTGCAGGACTTTGACTGAGCAGTGAAGTTTCACCCAATGTTTTTTTCTAATGATTCACTCACGCGATGTGTCACGTATACAGTGTACACAAATAATGGAACCGGTATAGTAAAAATTAAGTTTATATTGTTAAGAATATGGCACAGTTTCAACAACTAGAATGTATTTTTGCTTCTGTTCCCTATTAAGTGCAAGTTTTTTTAACCACCAGACAAATCAGCCAGAAAGTGGCAAGGTTGGGTTCTCACAGAATACACTTATATTACTCACAGTGAATCATCTTTATGACTTTATTAAATGTGTGAAATAGTAAAGCTTTGCGTTGCGTTTTTACCGAGATACAGCCCAATGCATATTTAACCCTCACACGGAGAGTTCGCTTAACTTTTCAGCTGTGTGAGTGATGCATTTTCCCTCAAATTTGCTCTACAAAATCCACATGATTTGTTCGGTACATTACTTCGACCTTTACTATATTTGAAAGATTGATAAATAATCCTTTTAACAACAGAAAATTTTATCATAATTTCGTTGCTATGGTTACAAACTATCGAGGTCATTTGGGGTCAATTGATGCTTGTTTCAGATACCCACCCTACATATAGCCTAATATCTCCACTGGTAGAGCACCTTATATATTATCATTGGTATTTCCTGAGAATATAGGCATGTGGCCTAATATGAATTAAAAAATCGGCGTGGACTTTTTCCCGAAAAGCATGCACCAGCGACGCAAATCTTCCTATTTTCAGGCTATTTCATCGTAAAACATACCAGTCAAATGTCGCTTCCCGGAGTTTCGATTTTCATTAAAGACTGTTTAAATCAGTTCCAACGTGAATCAGTGCCTAAATTACTAAAATAAGCTCCGGTATCTTCTATGAATTTATTCCCGGATGAAATTATATACCAAGTTGAAATGCTGGTTAACCTTGCATTCGAAACTAAGTTCGTGGAACCGGTAATGGCCGGTTCAAGTAGGAGGAAGGCGCACGCTGCAGATTTCCCGAATTTCAAGAAGCAAACAGCACATGCACTGTGCGTTGTTGTTCAGTAGACACTTATAAAGGCAAAAGTGGTGTGACATTCAGGAGATACGACAAAGATGTATGGGCCACCTCTGCATGCTTGCATTACGTCTAGAAGAGGAGGATACTAATGCCGAAAATGGACCTTAGCCTGCGTCATGCATATCATGTATGTTGTAGATCAGTTTCGTCATCTGAAGCAATGCGGAGTGCACTCGACTCTGTCATCTGGCCCAGCGTATCGTTACATGCTGTGGTCTTTTGGGTAGCCACAAGAACATATCAACAGTTATTTCCTTGGACCTAACGGGAACTTTCACGCACAGTTGATCCAGTTTTTATCATAACAGTGGGAAAGTTTTCTGTCCAGAGGTCTCAGGTAATACAAATGTTTACATATATTAAACTAACATAAAACTTATAATTAAACCTTTGATTATTAATGTGCTCACCGAATTAATATTAGAGGATTGAAAAGAATATTATGATGTTCTTCTTAATTGTTAAAATGTACTAGTTTATGTGTAGTAGTAAGATAAGGCATATAACTTCCTAGTTCCCAAGTTGCATATCATAACAGTTTTAATGCATGCTGAATTGTTAATTAAAATATATATAAATAAAGCTTTATTTTTAAACGGTGTTCATGGTAAGTTTTGTCAGTTGAAGATTAAACCCATTTAATAAAATGGAGAATAAAATTTCCTTATTATTTCAGCTAGAATATGTTTGAAGACTGGTCAGAGAAATCCAGGAAATATGACAAAGAAAATAGAGTGGTTAATCCAGGTGCTGAAAAAAGGAAGTGTGAGGAGAATTGGCTCACTGCCAAAAGGAGTATATTGTTTTCACATTTATCTACTTGAAAAAGTATACTTTCTACAGTTGGAGCCAAGAGGACACCGATGACCTGATAGATAAAGCATTTGTCAGTCATGGAGTAACAAGAAGAGTCCCTAGAAAGTGAAGCAATTTATTGGATCTTCATCAGAATTTGAGAGCTGATACATTTTGATTAACTTTTCAATAAGGGAGATTTTTGTCTTGTTTCATTTCATTGAAGGTATTCATGAATGCAACCTTTGATTGAACATATGTTACTAAAACGCTGATAATGGATATCAATATTTTAATCTTTCAAGCAAAGATCAGTAGGCCTAAGACATATTTTGTAGCAATGCATTGCCCTGGTCTTGAGTACTGGTAGTGCAAAACAATCCAGGGTGCATGATGGCATGATATAAGTTCTTTTCACATCAGTTTTCATTTTTCTCTTAAAGTGCAAAAAATTAAGTGGATTATTTGAAGTTCTGTTGGTTTGATGTGTATGGGCGGCCAAAAGNTTTAAATCCTTTCTGATGTCACGCAAAGTATTCCGTGAAGAGCAATCATGGTTTATTTTGCAATCTAGAAAAACGATAGTTAGATAATATGTAATCGCTGCCCTGTCCTTGCATGATTTTCACAAACGACACATGACGGTTCAAAGGTACATGTACCTTTTATTTTATTTTCCATATGTACCTTTTATTTTATTTTCTTCTTATTATTACATGTAGTTGTTGTGTGGATATATATATACGTATTGCCAGCGCGTGTGTAAGTTAACCTTTGCACATGTACATAGTAGTACGTACATTTAAGGTGAAATGCCTCATATTACACAGTATACGTGTACACCTTACCAAAGTAAATTGTATCTTAAAATGCTATTTTATGTTTGAACGTCTAAAAATAACGTGCTATTCAGGATAGCGTCATATTCCAATGCTGTAAAAATTCAGATTCAGTTATAACAGGTATACGAAGAGGTGCATATAAGGGGTGTACATAACTGAATAAACTTGATCACACTATTAAAAGGGCTGTTGATGTGATATTTATTGAAATTACTATTTATGCTTTCTTTATAAATGACATTTTAAAGAGGAGGAAACGACAAAACAATCCTTATTTTCACTAATGGTGCTTTCCCAGAGATTTAGATCGATCTAAGGATTAAGTTTTAGATCGACCTAACTCCCTGGGGGTTCACGCTAAATTGCAGTCAGCCGAGCGGACACCATAGTTAATTACCACCTTACAGCTTTTAGTAGGCGGGACAGACGCTTAAGCCGGCCAAGCTGACAGTAATCTAGTGAGACTCCCCACAGGGATATATCGATCTAAAAATCTATGGAAATGGGGTGTAAGGCTCTATTCCCATAGATTTTAGATCGATCTATCCCCGCGGGGAGTCTCACTAGATTACTTTCAGATAATCCGACTTAAATGTCCGTCCCGCCTACTACAAGCTGTAAGAGGGTAATTAACTTTCGTGTCCGCCCGGCTGACAGCTATTTAGCGTGAACCCTCAGGGAGTTAGGTCGATCTAAAGTAGGTCGATCTAATCTATGGAAATGGGGTGTTACACACACAAGTAATGCATGTTGCCGTTTTTTTTTTTTTTTCATTCCGATGAATTTGCAAATTCAAATCAAGAGAAAAAAACCACAAAATTTGGGTTTGTTGATTTTCTAAATTGCCTTCGTTTATTGGGGCTTCAATTGGACATTCTGGTAAGGCCATAGCCTTGTCAGTGAATTCAATTGTTATTTGCCGTCATTGAACAATTACAGAACTATGCACCATGTAGGGAATCCAATCAAAATAACATAACATTGTATTCCCAGTTTCCAAGCAATTACTGATCAAATGAAAAACCATTTAATGCCTCTCTCACGTTACAAACTCAATCAATAACCTAAGGCAACAATCCGTTCTGGTTTGTTTTCAGTATCAACTTATTTAAGTGATAACTCCAAAGAATATCAAGGGCAATGCTCTATCCCGGTATCAATTTCAATTTTTAATCTTGTTAGTGTCAAGTACAGCATTTCTTATAGGCAGAAGGCAAATAGGATTGCCTTGTAATGAGAAGCAATGCGTTGGGTTTATTGGCTTCAAGAAGGTTTTTAATCTGTCTTCTTCGATACGTATGCGCATTAGACTCAAAACAATATGTATTGTGATAGAACATATCCCTTGGACAATTTCATTTCCTGGTTTTAACATTTCAAATGGAGTGTATCAATCAGTCATTATTGTTGAGTATTGACAACTGGGAAGATATCCTGCCAACGTAATTGAGACGTAAAATGACTGTCGGCTCCGTATTTAGTATCATACATACTCTGAACTCGTAAAACCCGTTTTAATAAGATCTTGTAAGATTAACGCTAACCTATCCATAGTTGCATGTTTTGTTCGTCAGTTCAATAATTGCGGATAGTTTTTCTATCCTCGATATACAAGATAGAATGTTCATTATTTATTTCTTAAAAGGAGGAAATGACAACTTCGGGGAATTGCCAGCTACTGTCTGATTATTGTTATGAAATTGACATTTTTGAACTCAGAAAACACCTGTTCTAATTAGAACATTTGACATTTACGCTACCCAATATATAGTAACATGTTTTGAACGAGCAAGCCCTGCTCCTGTACATATTACTTAAAGATACAGTGCTATGTTAGACGTATTTAAGTTCGGGATACTACTGCTTTTATAGTTTTTTCCTGAATAAATTTTACCATAATCATTGCAGCATACACATAGACTGAGTAAACATGTTAGTGCGTCTTTTAGTACAATCCAGCGAGAAGCTTGAATGTTAAAGTATTTTGTCTTCTCTAACGTTGTGCTGTGTCTAATCTGAAGCAATTCATTCTCAGATTACTGTGCAACTAATGCAATGCAGATTTTCACTGGTGAACATGCCAGTTTACGATGTGCACCAAATTAACCATCAATCACTCTATGGTCGATTAGTGTACCGTATTTTTGTCAAAAAATAAAAAAAGGAATAGAAAAGGAGGCTGATTCTTTTTTTTTCTTCTGGGAAAATTGAGAATTTGATGAATTTCCAGCATTTTCCTCTTTTTCACCCCCTGCTTCTATTTCATTTCGACTTCCCTGATACTAGCTGCTCAACACTATCTCCTTTTATTACCTTTGTTTCCTTTGATGCTCAGTACAGAAAAACTATAGTCTGATATTTATTTTTACTTCACCCTACATGTACATTACGAACACAAAATTGAACTATATAAGTTATGATATTCATTTTATATAATGACATTTTTCACCGACGTCTGAGATTCAAGTAAGGTGGCCGGTCCTAGAATAAATATATCAGTAAATATATGAGACTCCGCATAAGTTCACTGAGGGATCAAAGATGAATTCTTCTAAGGAAGGGATACTTTTTAGGAGAAGATAGATATTTGAACTTAATGGAGGGCTGTGTGATCCGCTGAGCCCTCCCCCCACCACCCCCCACTCCCACCACCACCAATTTCGTGCCTCAAGTTACCCCTTGTGTCAACACTGTGTTCACTTTCTACTTTAACTTTTTAAGCAACTTCTCAGTCCTGCCAGGCAGACTCCAATCGCGAAGAGAAGTCCAATGCATCCCGATACGATCATTCCTATGGCTGCCTTGGTGCCAGGTATACCCGAACAATACTGGAAGAAGACAATACAGAGGCAATTAAATTTTGACGAAATATTTATACATGAAAACTAGTCAAAATGGCTGCCAGGGTAGACGAATATGACCAAAGTTTATTCGGACTGTAGGCACATATTTGCAAATCTTTGATTTCCATCTCTGAAACCCAAATAATACAGACGCTGCATGGAATGTATTTTTGCTTCTGTTCCCTATTAAGCTTCGTGGTTCATTCACGAAATTTATCACAGAGGCAATTATATAATGCTAGTTCGTAATAACCTGTGTGGAGAAGATAACACAAAGGACGGTTTTAGTTTTAGCAAGTCCCTAAGAATAGGGGATTATTATAAACGTTCCAATGTGTAAAAGCCGTCCCGCTTTCTATTCAAGCAATTGCAACGACGTGAATTTTAGAGAAAAACATATTTGGCAAATAATTCCGCCGAGAAGATATCATTTTTTTTTCTGCTGGACGCGGTTTACAGGTGGTATGACGTGGTGCCATAACGAGAAAGCTTCTTAATCAATTCTACAGGTAGTTTGGCCGCTTTTATTGATAAGCCTGTCCGGAACGTTTAGCTACTGAATCAATTCCTCTTAAATATGTAGTAATCAAACGCAATATTATAGAAATATTTGGTTTAATATTCGAGCCTGCGTATATCTCCCTGTGTCCAAGACAGCGGAGTTACCACCCAGAAGCCCAATTCAGTGTTTGAATTGTTTACAGCATAATGAACATGTCACTTTACAGGTGGGAAGACGGTTTGTTTGTATGACACGTGTAATTTTAATTAATTTAAATTTGAAATTGAAAATTTAAAAAATAAAAAATTGTGGATGTTATATATTAAGGCATATCACAAAATTCTTACAAGTGAAATTTATTTTAATTAAAAGACGTATTCATTTATGTGGTTTGTAAAACATATCTGATGATGATTCTTTTTATAGATATTTGATTTGATTTGTCTGACATGAATGTGGAAATAGTTTCAGAAAACGGGTAATTCAGTTGTGATCAAGTCTGTCAGAGTGACCAAACGAAACAGTCAACAGGTAAATTTAATACTGTATGTGGATCTATCATAAATGAAAACTTTGTCTGATATAATTATATAAGGTGTGTGTGCGCATGCGTGCGCCTGTGTGTGGTGAAAAGCTGCACTCAAATCTCACTGGCATATTCATGGTTAATATTGTATATTATTATCATGTTTTCTTTACTAATAAGCAGACACTTACAGATAAAAATAAAAATAATAAAAATAAGCTGTCAATGAGAGAGGTTATTTTCGATAATAAACGATAAATGCTACTTACCCGAATGTTGCTACAGAGTACAACCAACACCTGTTCTGTTTACAAATTAAGTCACCTGTTGAGCTGCAAGTGTTATAGCAGTCTTTATAGAGACATTATGGTTTATTGTAAGTGTTAGTGGAATTTTACGTTAACTTTTACCTGCGTTTGATATCCGGCTTATCAACCGAACATTAACGTGTCTTGGTTTCTTATGGTCCGGTTTTGCTTTTTTCCTTGCGTTTTGAAATGTGATGTTTTAGTTCAAGCTTAAAAGTGGGTTGAATTATACGAAGCCACGTAGCTCCCCGCAGACCACAGGTGTGTGTTCCCATATCCTGGACACGCTTACATTGCCTGGTGTAATAATTGATTCTATTTTACCTCTAAAATCCGGGTGTTGTCCTAAAAACACATAAAATGTACATAACATTTTAGCATAGAAATATTACTTTTCTTGGAAAGATAGAATCTTCTCTAAAAACCTAAAATGTCGTGAATGTTTTAACCCCCGTTCTTGAGAATTTTCTATTTTTATCGTTACGTGGGAATTCCGCCAACCGAATTCATCTCCATTACCAAACTGACTCGACAAATAAAAGAAAAGGAGATGTAACTTTATGAACGGCTTTGGATGGGTCATACCTTGATGATTTAGAATAAAGTCTTGACACATACCAAGGTAATTTAAATTTTACTACATGTTTGTTATATTAAGGTATAACGTTAATCGTACGCCTCTAAGTATCTGTGTAAATTGCGTTTGTAATAGTTGTGAATGTGTGCTCAGACATTTCATATAAAATGTGTAGTTTAATCACGTACGCCAACAGCACAAGACCACAAATTAAGGCAAAATGTCTTGCTGAGCAGTTAAAATTTATTAAGACAGAGCCTGACACAGGCTCAAATTAAACAAACGACATATTTTAACGAGGAACAAACTTTTGATTTTGCTCTCTTCAAACCAAATCAATCTGTCATCTGAAATGTGACCGATAGGGGCGCCAGACACCAACGGGGAGACTGTTACATTAAATTTGCTCGTCTGAAATTTAGGGACATCTACTTTGGGAATTTTTGCACATTTTCCTTGTGTAATGCTACTCGGCAGATTTAACTGGTCTAAAACATCTGTAAAGTAGCCGTTTACCGCCGCAAAAGCTTTTTCCGCATTGTAGACTTGAGTGAGAGCGTAATACACGTTCCAGTCAGGATATTTTGTATAGGTCGTCTGATTGACAGCCTCCTTGCTGAACAAAAGGAATCCCCATCTTTCTGGAAGATGCATGTTTATTGCATTCTGGGAAGACCACACCCAGTTATCCTCTCTGATGTTGGGGACCTTCTCATAATGCCCGTTGACGACTCTCACGTGCCACTCAACGCGACTGAAGTTGATCCTCCACTGATCCCCATTTTTGGGAGGCGCCCTCATCCCCGTTTTCCCGTGTATCAGATCTTTAAACGGCATGGCGATTTCAGCAGTCCAGTATGTATTTTTAACTAAAGGGTCATTGACAGGACCGTCCACAAAAGTGGCTGTTTTCATGGTGGGCATTTCCCAAGAGGAATTGGGAGTTCCTCCATTTAAGTAGGGTTTGTTCAGTTCCAGGTCCCACGTGGTATTTATGGCGTTCATTTCAAATTCTTTGTAGAAATGGGTGCTTCCGCTCGGGTCAATGAAGACCTCGAAATCGTTGTCGTAAAATATTACCGAGTCGTGTTTGGTTTGATTCGCCCATACGTCCTAAAATGCAAAAAAATATTTTGTTCTTGTAAATTAATGCACCTCATAAATGATTTAAAAGTGACAAAGACGTCTCTACCAACTTTATTCTTATGTGTACGTCTCATAAAATATAAAGACATAGAAAACTCCGTGTTTGTGAATGATTATACACACTGTTTTGATATATCAGTTCTGAGATACAAACCGTTTCTTCCATAAAGGCAGCAATATACAGGTAGTTCTCGTCCCATCGCATCTTGGCTCTTGTGGTAAACCTTGGTTTTGGGAAAGATGGGCCCTGAAATTATGAATAAATTACTTATTATAAAAGACGAGTCAGTACTCAATTTATTGATTATCTAGCAAAATTTTAAATATTTATTAGTCAGATTTTTTGTTGCTGTCATTTTATATCGATTAATTAATTAATATATATTTATTTATATTACAAAATGGCTAATTAAAAAGTTTATTTTTGGATCACCTTTCCTATAGTTTTTCCTTGGTCATTTTCACCTTTGCCATTAATTTAAAACCATGTATTTAAAATTGTTTGAAAAATCAATTATCAATTCACTCCATCCGTTTTGTCACTCGATCAAGCGCTCATGCTATTGTTTCAAAACGGTATATCTGATTCATATTATGCTCGTCAGTAGCTTCCTTCCGAACTGTCATTTTGCATTATTATTATTATTATTATTATTATTATTATTATTATTATTATTATTATTATTATTATTGGTGGACCCAAAATAAGAGTTATCTTATCAAGGGAGAAAGGCAATCGCCCTGCTGTTAAGTCATCCCCTAAAGGATGAACCAACATTTTTCTTGGCGTACAGAATCGCGTCAATCACTGAGTAACAGTAATCTAAAAGACACAGGGTGTAGACGAATGAGCAGGACGACATATTTTCTTACAGGTGGAAATATTGCCCACTGCATACTAGCATACTGAGACAGCATTCTCAACCACACATACTTATATAACCACACTGTGTAATAATTGTGTTTTTACATTGATCCAGTGATAGGCATGGCAGACCACTGGGACATGCAATACGACGTAGCCTTCATTTGATTCATTTCATACTTAAAATATGAATTATAAACAAAATGTTTAACACATTAAAAATACATAATGACAAAAGAAAATGAAAACACCTGTCTGCAAGAAAGGTCAATGCCCATTCTACTAGTATTACTAAAATCTATCTAACTCTCATCCTGTACTGGAAAGTCGCTACATGTAGGCCTACGTTTGCTCCTCTATTACCGCTGCAGCTATAAAGTACATGTATGGCCAGCGGCTATTTAAAACGGTCACTGACCTGTATGTCCATAAATTCATCTGTCCATGCCACTTTGCTCCAGGCGTCTTCGTCCACCTTGCCGTCCACGTTAATGATCTCCCCAGCGTTCAAGTGGTACGCCGTGTAGTGTTTGGGATATGGGAAATTACAATCAGAAGACGCCGAAACTGACGACAGCGTCCCAAGGTAACCCAATGTGGTTATAAATGGACTGATAAAAAATATCAAGTTCCAGCAACACACCATATTCGTCTAGATTCACAATATGACTTGGTTTGTATTATAACTGTAGCCTACTGCTTCTCCAGGTAGAGCAGCTTTTGCCAGGAAAGTCTTATTCCGTAGTGCAGAAGACCCGTTATTGTCGTTGGTTATTCTAAATGTGACTTGAACGTGAAAACTCTAAATGGCTGCTGATAAGCACCAACTGCCGTTGATAAATATAAACTTGGCGATACTGACTGCAAATGTGACCAAACTAGAACAAGTTGAACATTAAAGGCCTNTTTAAGTTCACGTGTAGGTTGAAATGGGTCATACAAGTTTACATATTAACTACAGCGAGCTGGGATGTTAACAGAGCTGTTTTTATGACGCTGGCTTGATGTTTTGTCTAAACGTAGCTCGCCGTGATTATTGTATTGCTTTTGTTCAATTTACTAAGAACTCTACAAGAATGCCCCACAACAGAGAAAAGTATCAAAATCCCAATTTGCCAACGTGACTGTACTGCGTAGATTTATTATCAAACGTCTTAGAAGAACACCAATTAACATCGGTAGTCTGTCCTAAATGTTAGGTAAAATACACATAAATTGCGTAGACTTGGCTTGGAAAGCCTACTGATTCACGCCAACGTGTTTTATAAATTACAAAACTCGCGGATTCGTAGGCCCAAGATTTATCATGCCATGGTCGGATGTCAAAAGGATTGGAAGCGTGCTGTTGTTGAGCCGTTATAAATAAACCAATATCTGTACATTGCATATCTTGAATTCATATAGTTCCTCCGATTATCATACTGTGCATTAGGTGCGTAGATGTACTAAGCTGATAGCGCATTTTTTCAGGTGACTTGATAATAGGTGTGATTACTGTTGTGATAGGTGAGAAGTGATTGTGGTGGGATCGTTGCTACAGAGTGGCGTATTGGCCATTGACCAACAGGCAGTAAGATATGTTCAATTGGACTCGGGTCTGGAGAACAGAGCTTTTTTTTTTACGTATGGATAGAACTTTTACTAAAGCCTGGGTTTCCATCGGCACTGTACGATGATTAATTAATTAATTCATTCATTTATTTTTGACGTCGCAACGACGAGTTTGTTTACGTAATGTGCAGGTGCTTTGTCATTTTTTGACATGACCTTGAGGGCAGCTCGAGAAAAAACGGTTTGCCGGTTGAAAAGCGATCATGCAGATTGGCCCTTTCAGTTTTAGCGCAGTTGCTGTATTCCTCCTGCCATCTTGATAGTCTGAGATGGTAGGTTTTGTAGCTCAAAACCTTTTTTTTTGCGACAAAATATGAAAAGATAAAACGTATTTTTTTCAGAAAAGTTTATCAATTATGTCTTTCTTGGGTTTTGTCCTTTATCATGGTAAAGTGGAATTACGACATCACTTTTTTTGCTCGCGGAACAGTATCTTTTATACTTTAGATTTATATTATACACAAAAAGACCAAAAATCTTTTATAAAACATGACATGTATTTATTTTCTATAACGAATTTGAAAACTAAACAGTTTACTCACAATAAATACATAAAAATCAATAAGTTAATATATAAGATATATAAGAAATAAATTAACGCGAAATAAATAACTTCAATGACATACGATATCTGCTACGGAACACTGACACATTTGAATAACGTATAAACTGACTGTTCGGCTTTTCTTGTCACGTGGCTGTGGCGAACTGCGCCCAGAAAAGTGCTTGTTGAATTTGCCATAATCATAATCATATGAAAATTTTTTTTTAAATGATTGTCTTCTAACATTAATTCTGAGAAAAAATATGTTATCCAAAGGGCTTCCTACATAAAAAAATTGGTCCATTTCTATGGTAAACATAGATTTTGCAGTGCAAATATAACCAGCAATGACTTTATTTCTTATCGTCCCATATCTCCAATGTAATTATATGTATTAATTAACTGGAAAACTTCACTCTAGCAGGAATTTAATGAGACAGTACCTCCTAACGGTGCTCCACAGCACCAGTAATTATTAATATTGTAATCAAGTTAAATACATATTTGGTGTATTTCATATTTGAAACAAGTGCCCTAGAGAGATCACACATTTTCAGATAATCAGTTCGTCATACAAATGTAAATTTGTTAAAATATATATTATCTTATAATGGCATACCGTTGTGCTTTGTAAAAATATGTTTTCACTGGGATTTAAATATTTGATTTCATTGCTCGTACCCCGCATAAGAGTTTACGACCGGTATCAACAGCTTAATATGTTGATTATTTCTTCATTTTTATGATAATTAGTAAATGATAAAAAAATATCATTAGAAATTGCAGCATTTTCTTTATCTTAAAGGGATAACAGCCCTTCATATGAGATTCAAAATTCAACCATAAATATGAATTGTAAAATAGCGCAAAGAAATATAATTAATTCCATTTTACCACTAAAACGGCGGTTATCGCAATTATTCTGAAATCTGTGCTTGCCATCGGACCGCTTTGACCTTCATAGATGGCTTCCCTCCGTAATTATCTCTAAACAGATTATTACAAAAGAAGGCCTAACTTTGAATATCGGAACGGATTCATTAACCATTGGTAATTGTGAGAACATCGTCGTTTACTCCTGGAAAATTCATTTTATGGCACGTTTTATGACATATGAAGAGGTGTTATCCCTTAAAGAGTGACACTTGCCCCTAAAACGTACATTTAATTTAAAGTGATCGTGTAAACCATATAATGTTCCTTCTAAAATGATTCCTCAAACAGGGTAGTGGTTGTCTGCAAGAGGTGAAGGTCACTTTCATTCATAGAATCCGAATCAAAATCTTCTAAATCTTCTAAAAGTACGTCTGCTCCGGAGTCGTTTAGGGGAGAATGTCCGATTGGCTGCATATGAAATCCCATTTGGAAGTTACCATGGTAACCAGCATGAGTCGTGGTTCCTATTGGTAAGGTAGCCTCTTGGTTGGTTCCGTAAACTGGGCTCCCATTGGTCGGAACTGGCTGTTGCTGTTGTTGTTGTTGTTGCTGCTGTTGCTGGGGGTGATGTCTTGGAAACGCGTATTGTCCATAAGATGGCATGGCATTATTAGGGGAATTGGAATGTGGATTCTGTTGGAAAGATCCATACTTGGAAGGATTATATTGGTCATAAGGAATGCTTTGAATATCGGAATTATTCCGTTGCGCATGCGTAGGGAATGTCGTGGGGAATGTAACAGGAGAAATAGCACCGTGGTAGTCAAAGGCAGTCGGCAGAGTGCCCCCGTTCAACGAAGGTAGGGCGTGCACGTGCTCAGTCATTAAGGCTCGTGGAGAAAGTCTCAGTGTCCCGGCTACTAGATTCATTGTATTTTGAGACAGTCCCTTCGATAAGGCCTTTGCAAATGCGATATCATCCGGTCGTCTGCCAGTTTTTAGGATTTCCGATAAGGCACAAATGTAGTTGCTAGCTAGGCGCAAAGTTTCTATTTTAGAAAGTTTTTGGGTCTTGGAGTAGCACGGAACATGACAACGCAGGTCATCCAAGGCTGAATTTAAACCATGCATTCGATTACGCTCCCTCGCGTTAGCTTTAACTCGTCGCACGCGCAACTTGGCAACCCTCGCTTTGGTCATTTTCTTTTTCTTCGGACCTCTCTTTTTCGGTTGCTTTTTGCCTTCCGGTTCTGTGTTTTCGTTGCACTTTTCGTTTTCGGCCATTTTTTCCTCATTGCCTATCTCCCGCTTTCCGTCCTCCTCGTCGTCTTCCATGTCGTCTGCTTCTGTGATATCTTTGGCGTAAATTTCCAGCGTGTCGTCTGCGCCAAGACCAGAATCGTCTGCGGAAGTACCACACGGTCTGGTTTTGGTTTTGATGGGCATTTTCCGCTTAAATGTCTTCTTCCTAAAAGTAAAAATATATAGACAATGTAAAAGGGTTGTTTTTAGAATCGTCAATTTGATATATGATACGTAAGGTCTTTACAAATGTATTTCATTGATTACTTTTGGGTTTCTACTGAAGCAGTCAAAGGATAGTCTGAGATATACATACTGGGGCACTTGCATAGAGATTAACAGCCTACGTTTTATGTCATTTAAAACTCCAAAAACATATTTCATTGACTAATAAGAAAAGGCTGGCGCATTTTAAACGGTGTTTTTATATAGGTTTTAATTGTTTGAACCGAATGCACGCCGTGATCGTTTCTGACATTCTCCATGCGTCATGTTTTGCCAGCTACATTCTAAAGCACAACAAATGTCCGACTGACGTTGGTGGCTTGTTTGTTTCTTTTGCTCGGTCACAGCAACTGTCAGTATCAACCAATCGACACATGACCCCACCACCTACGGCAATATTCAATCAGAATCATGGGCCCATTGTTGTTTACGCACTCGAATCAACCCGATAGATAGACCCTTAACTCATCCGGCTGACATCCATTGTGTGACACGGCTAATTTATGGATCGTGGACTGATTAACTTTGATCTAACTGAATTACACCCTCTGATCACCCGAACCACTTCTGGCCTAGACAAACATGATAGCAACTGGGTAATGGTCGGACGTATCGCTGCCATTCATTCTCCGCATTAACCAAGATATAGCCGCGATAGTAATTCGATTATGTTAACGACGCGCCGAGACAATGTGCTTGCACGTGGCTCCTCTTGGGGAACTCTTCAATAGATACGTTAATGAGGTAGAATTTCACCTTCTCATTTAAGGTGATTCAATCCCCTTGTCCGTGCAATAGAGTAGAAAATAGTTCTATTATAAAACGTAATTAGATTTATGAATTAAGGAAACAACTTAGTCATTATCGTTATAGCTGAGTAATGGAAGAGCATAATGACGAAACACCACGTACAGAGACACATAGCATTTGCGGTCTATTCTATGGAAATCCCAATTTAATTGAAAGAAGGATTAGACCTCGTAATTTAAGGTTATATTTATGCAATAAACGCTGACATGCTGCCGCACGATGTTTAAGTAGGGTTTAAGAAAGCGAATCAACTTAACGGCAAGTGCAAGATGTTGATAATGTAGTCACGCNTACTTGGAAGGATTATATTGGTCATAAGGAATGCTTTGAATATCGGAATTATTCCGTTGCGCATGCGTAGGGAATGTCGTGGGGAATGTAACAGGAGAAATAGCACCGTGGTAGTCAAAGGCAGTCGGCAGAGTGCCCCCGTTCAACGAAGGTAGGGCGTGCACGTGCTCAGTCATTAAGGCTCGTGGAGAAAGTCTCAGTGTCCCGGCTACTAGATTCATTGTATTTTGAGACAGTCCCTTCGATAAGGCCTTTGCAAATGCGATATCATCCGGTCGTCTGCCAGTTTTTAGGATTTCCGATAAGGCACAAATGTAGTTGCTAGCTAGGCGCAAAGTTTCTATTTTAGAAAGTTTTTGGGTCTTGGAGTAGCACGGAACATGACAACGCAGGTCATCCAAGGCTGAATTTAAACCATGCATTCGATTACGCTCCCTCGCGTTAGCTTTAACTCGTCGCACGCGCAACTTGGCAACCCTCGCTTTGGTCATTTTCTTTTTCTTCGGACCTCTCTTTTTCGGTTGCTTTTTGCCTTCCGGTTCTGTGTTTTCGTTGCACTTTTCGTTTTCGGCCATTTTTTCCTCATTGCCTATCTCCCGCTTTCCGTCCTCCTCGTCGTCTTCCATGTCGTCTGCTTCTGTGATATCTTTGGCGTAAATTTCCAGCGTGTCGTCTGCGCCAAGACCAGAATCGTCTGCGGAAGTACCACACGGTCTGGTTTTGGTTTTGATGGGCATTTTCCGCTGAAATGTCTTCTTCCTAAAAGTAAAAATATATAGACAATGTAAAAGGGTTGTTTTTAGAATCGTCAATTTGATATATGATACGTAAGGTCTTTACAAATGTATTTCATTGATTACTTTTGGGTTTCTACTGAAGCAGTCAAAGGATAGTCTGAGTTATACATACTGGGGCACTTGCATAGAGATTAACAGCCTACGTTTTATGTCATTTAAAACTCCAAAAACATATTTCATTGACTAATAAGAAAAGGCTGGCGCATTTTAAACGGTGTTTTTATATAGGTTTTAATTGTTTGAACCGAATGCACGCCGTGATCGTTTCTGACATTCTCCATGCGTCATGTTTTGCCAGCTACATTCTAAAGCACAACAAATGTCCGACTGACGTTGGTGGCTTGTTTGTTTCTTTTGCTCGGTCACAGCAACTGTCAGTATCAACCAATCGACACATGACCCCACCACCTACGGCAATATTCAATCAGAATCATGGGCCCATTGTTGTTTACGCACTCGAATCAACCCGATAGATAGACCCTTAACTCATCCGGCTGACATCCATTGTGTGACACGGCTAATTTATGGATCCTGGACTGATTAACTTTGATCTAACTGAATTACACCCTCTGATCACCCGAACCACTTCTGGCCTAGACAAACATGATAGCAACTGGGTAATGGTCGGACGTATCGCTGCCATTCATTCTCCGCATTAACCAAGATATAGCCGCGATAGTAATTCGATTATGTTAACGACGCGCCGAGACAATGTGCTTGCACGTGGCTCCTCTTGGGGAACTCTTCAATAGATACGTTAATGAGGTAGAATTTCACCTTCTCATTTAAGGTGATTCAATCCCCTTGTCCGTGCAATAGAGTAGAAAATAGTTCTATTATAAAACGTAATTAGATTTATGAATTAAGGAAACAACTTAGTCATTATCGTTATAGCTGAGTAATGGAAGAGCATAATGACGAAACACCACGTACAGAGACACATAGCATTTGCGGTCTATTCTATGGAAATCCCAATTTAATTGAAAGAAGGATTAGACCTCGTAATTTAAGGTTATATTTATGCAATAAACGCTGACATGCTGCCGCACGATGTTTAAGTAGGGTTTAAGAAAGCGAATCAACTTAACGGCAAGTGCAAGATGTTGATAATGTAGTCACGCTTCAATCCTGCAATAAAATTCTTGACAACATACAGAGTACATCAATAGGTGGTACAACTGCATGTAATCGAACAAATTAAAGGGATATAACCAATGTCAGCATTAATGCAGATGTTAAAGATGGTCAATTTGTTGATTTATTTGTTAACAACAGTGTTCTCTGGACCAACTCTCAGGAGGGGGGGGGGCGTATGAAAGGCCTTGATGTGGGCGAATTAAGCGGCTCTTTCTCTCTAGTCACAGGCAGTTAAATAAGATAGCAGCCCCCCACCCCCACCCCCACCACCACCACCACTACCACTCCCGATTGTTGTCAAGTGCAAAACACAAGACTAAATTAGTCCCGATTCCATTTATGCATTAAATGTTCCCACCGGAGGCAAATCGGGGTAAATAATAAAGGGATGGAATATTATGTTTGGGAATAAAATAGCTATAATAAGGTGGTGTGAAATATAATTAAATGAGATAAAATGGAATAAGACAGATATGAACTGATTTGAAATAAAAATCTGTACGCATTTCTGCAAGCTCCAAACCGAACTGTCTATGTAGTCGTTTAAGTATCACAAAGTAAACTTTCCAATGGCGCGATATGAAGCCAAACAATGCAATATGTCCGTTGCTAACATTCACCTTTGTTGTTTTCGCAGTTCGTGAACTTTTCGACGGAAACGTCTTTTATTTGACTTGACAAATTACCAATAATTGCCTTCACCTACTTCGTATTTCTCTCGCGTGATTACAAATCAACAATAATAATAACTGTAATCACTAAATTGTACTTTTGTAGCTGTTTGGAAAATTGGGGCTAATGTTGATAATCATATTTCAGCAAGGTATGATTTTAATCTGTTCGTTTTGACAGGTAGCGGTTGACATTTTTTCCTGCACGACATAGAGCGTCACGCAAACATGGTGTGTTTTCTCGTCTCATTTTGACCTTCAACTTTATCTTGCCGTGACACAAGATGAGATCTAGCTACATCGGGCCTAGCTTTGAATGACACTTATTTTTGTGTGTATATGGGCTTTTTGTTTACTTTTAGTGTCACTTAATTTAATCATCCTCAGTATGATTACTATTATTAATTCAAAATCACCACCGAAGGGTTGGAATTTTATTTCATAACTTGAATACAATAAGATATTGAAAGGTATATCGGGAAACAATCTAAATTCCTAACATTTCTTAAAATCTGCGCGCACCTACAATTATTTATCGTTTTGGTATCATAATTATTAGGAATTTTTATATCCCTGAAGAGTCGTTCACATCAGATTAACATTTTACCCTGAAATAATCAAAATGATTCATCAGTCAAGCTGTATTCAAATAGTAAGATAAATTCCTTTTTTAATCTTATGTTATGAATTTGAAAATAACTGCTTAGTTTACACTGAGATATTGGTTTGTATTAGTATGGACATATAGAGTGCTTGCGCCATTCATTTTATACCAATTTTAGAACTATGGACCAGAATACTCTTGCTTTTTAGACACACATAAAGCCACATCGTGACCGAAATCTAGTATTAACCACTTTTTAGTAATTTGATGAAACCCCGGTGTGTGAGGAACTTATTTCTCCCTCATAACGTAATGTTCAGTTCTGATATAAAAATATCGTTTGCTCTGACTTGTTCTGTGACGAATACACGATTGATGTCGAGAGTTAATCAAGTAGGCCCCTATTCATCATAAAAAAAGGATTCGGATAATCCCCAAGAATCTATTTTTTCTGGCGATAAAAAGGAAAAATTACCACAAAAACAGACACTAGTGTCAAACACTGTATACAAAGTCTTCATATTAAAGAAGAGACATGCCGATATCAAAATCCTAAATATTTTCTGATGCAGACTAATAATCTTGAAGAAGACGCACGAGCATGCGCACGTGCGCACACGCAAACACACACGCCAAACTATGGGAACAAGTGTAATCCTGTCCTTACTTGACAAGAAGTTGGGTTTTTCTTTTTACTTGTTTAGCATCATTATCATTATCTTTATCATCATTGAAATCTTTACTTATTAAGATTTCATGCCACGGGCTGTCTTATTATGTTTTTGTTTATCTTATTTTCACGCGAAGAAGGGAAAAATACAAAAAATTGTATTTATAAGAAATTTAACCTTGTACCTGCATTCATAAATCTCACGAATAATACCACACTCTTGAAAACTAATCTGAATTATCACAAAATCTAATAAAATCATTTATCATTTGCTTCTTTTGAGCACTGTTTGGTGGATCCTAGCTTCTACAAAAACACACGAAAAAAAAAAAAAAAAGAAAAAATAAGTTAGCTGCACACACGAGTCATCGCTTTCAAAGTCTTTTGTCGGCAGAGAATAATTTGCTTACATCAGCACTATCGCCTTGTTTCATCTTCGCATAAGCGCAGAATGATGCGGTCCCCGGGGCTGTCCCGCATTCCCCTGGGGCCGGCGGATCACTGACTGTGACACCAAAGGTTTTGATTGGCTGTGTATGGTGCCTGACCTTTTGACCCCCAGGGATCTACAAAGGCTTAATAGTTATCATGGGTTTCTTCCTCAGGTGTATGATATTATCTTTTTTCCAGTAATTACATTATAGATAATATTGACAAGATAGCAACGGATTAGAAAAAAGACGATAAAAAAACAAAAATGTCTCATAAGGCGGTATCGAGTTAGCGAGGCAAACGAAAAGCGGCCGTCACACAGCACTAATTAACCTATCCCTTGTAAAATGCATCTCAATTCACCAAATCTCTTATAAGTAAGGATTCAGAATTCAGATAAGTAACCTCTTACTCTGATAATTATCATTTGACATATCTAATTAACTTTTTACCTTTTTTACGTACTGGTACACAAACTGCTGTGTGTGCTGTTTACTATCAGATCTGTATATTTTCACAAGATTCAGCCGGTGCAAACTTTAAAAAATAAAATAAAATCCTCACTTATGATCGGTCTATGTCAATCTGTCCTGTCACCAAGAAAATCCAAATTGACCGCGCATAAAATGCAAACCTTGCGTTGTTCTCTGTAACACGTGCACTTCTTGGAATAAAAATAATTCACGTTTACCTAAGTACACGAGAGTACGTCTTTGTAGAGATTGTGCAATAAATAAATAAATAGATAAATAAATAAAAAATTAAGAAGCGGCCACCTGGCAGAAACATTAAATCTAACAAATGTTCTTTTGTTTTTCCGGCACGCCTCCAGATAGCAGACTGTATAAGTGTTTAATAATGAGGCCCCAAGGGGGCATATCTAAAGTGAGGGACAGTTGGAAACACCCAAGGGATCCCCTATCGCTAAAAGGGCAGAGATACAGAGTTGTGAGCGGTTTGCCTAGCGACACAAGATGGATTACCCCTACAAATCTGTCCTTTTGTGATGCTAATAAGATCATGGCAAAATGGGTTTTTTATACCGATATATTCTGCTCTGAGTCGTTACTTTTTATCAGATAAGGTGGGATTTTTTCATCATCTCGATGACTAACTTCATTTTGCTTTTCACAAGTTTCTTGATCCTTATTACTCACTACATGTCAAGGCACAGGCCTGTGTATTAACATGTTTTATCTAATTAAGCTAATTATGTAACTGCACAGAATAATCTCTATTTGCCCTGTAAAAATTCTGAATTTCTTTGTTACGCAGTATATTAGTGAAAACGCAATTAATTGTGTTAGTTAAATTTCATAATTGCAAAGGGCATTGTTTATTTGTTGTTTATATGTATATTGGATCGACGACCACTGCCTTAATAATGTAAAAACACTCCTTATAAATTTGTTTTTTAATTAATAGACTTGTTGAGTTGCTACTTTTTAAAAACCAGTTAATGATGCCATTCTCTTCACGAAACACTGCATTGTGATCACAAGTAAATAAAGTATAGCCCCTATACGTGTAAGGCATATAGATATATACTTCACATTCATATTTAATAAATATCATAATAAATTTTATGCAATTTATTTCCATTTTTTCTTTTGTTTTCCTTTACCTACCAAAACATTATCCAATTAACTATAATTACCTGTAATTATCAGTCATGACAGATTTGTCGTTCAATTTCTCTCCCGCTCACCATAATGCTGACATTATTTGCCTGACAGTTATAGATCTGTACTCAGACCTTTGTATTGCAAATGTAAAGTTAAACCTCTCATGAATCACATTTCTTTCTGGGTCAAAAATAACCATTTGGCAATTCCAAAAACAAACAAACAACAACAACAAAAAGAATGGTTATATTGTATATTAACGGACACGGCGTTGCATGAAATGGACAGCATCACACACACACAAACACAAACACACGCACACAGACTGAGAGAGAGAGAGAGAGAGAAAGAGAGAGAGAGAGAGAGAGAGAGAAAGAGAGGCACCAAACTTCGTTTTTACTTCATGATGACTTTTTGTAACAAGCAAAAAAATGTAAATATTAGGCGCGCTTTATTTCAAATTTGTATCTGTAAAAAGTTATTTGGGCTCAATTTTACCAACAAAAATAGTATTAGTAAATCTACACCTTTACTAATACGGGGCAATTATTGTTAAACAAAACTGAAATATTTTGGAAAAAATTCCACTGATTACACCTTTTAAGCATTTTACAAGTACAAATGTCTATGTGATTAAAATTTTGATTGTCACCAGAAAGAAAAAATATATAATAAGGGCAAGTGGATCATGAGAATTTAAGGACAGTAAATAAATGTAGAATTCGCAAATAGTCCTAATAAATACAACCACTTACTTAAAAACTGCTTCAGAAATTAAGTTTATATCATTTACATTTATGTGGCATCTATCACCAAATATTATCAAGTATTATCAAATTAAACAAATATGATTCATACCATCAGTTCTAATTAAGATGTTGCTCATACCCCAATCTATACATGACTCAGACACGTGTCGGTCAAGTAGGCCTATATCTAGTGTCCAGAGTATGGTCAGAAGAGAGCTACCCATTCTTCACAAAAAAAAAAAAAAAAAAAAAACTGACCAGTTTTCTTTTAATGCCACGATTTACATTTTCCACTCTGATATAGGCCTAATGACGTGGGGATTAAATATCTTTTGAAATAAAGAATAAAAGTAGAAAATAGAGTAAAGATTGAGATTTTATACTGTAAGTTGCACTTTTTTTCTCTTAAACGGGTGCATTTTTTCTTTCCCTCTTGTTAACTTTGAATATGAATAAATAAACGTACTGCATCAAGCACACTGGAAAAGTTTTCACCCATGGTCAGCAAGCTTCTAAAATCATCTTACTCCTAATCTGTATGAACAATAATGCAGCCATTAAACCATGCAAAACACGTTGATGTGTATGTAAATAATAATTTTCTTGATAATAGTGATATATCAAATCTGAAATTCTATTACAAGCGTTGAATAATACTGCGACCCATATCACACTAAAAACAACTTGGGTCAACTCGCTAAAGACTTTTCAAAAATATAAACAATGTTTTAAAATGCCACAATTCTTGGAAATGGAATTTCCTGGAATTTTGAAACAACTCAGCTGTGAAGATGCGGAGTGAGAGAAAGAGAACTCGTTCGGAGCACATCGGCATTTCACAAATTTAAGATAAAATCGACAACAATAAGGTTTTGAATACACTACGCAATATCAGAAATGTGTGGAATAGCCTTTAACACAAAGTGGACACGTTGGAGAGGCCAGCATTATCAAAATGACCCACACTTTTCAGTAAGATAACGAAAAAAATCACTTACGTCTGTCTTAGATGTAGTCACACTTCTGGCACGCGCACGGCACGCGTCCGACTGACGTCGCTATCCACGCGAACACATCCTACCACTGAGGCTGCAGGCGGCGGAGGCACTGGGTACTCTACGATATCTATACTAGAACTGTGCGTTCTTCAGTCCGTGCTCGTCCATATAAATTGTACTGAGATAAGACACTGCCAGATCTTAACATATGTCACGTTTTCTTCGAGCTCCCCAGTGGCTATTATCATGGAAATATTCGATTGGCAGGAGCTGCCGTAAGCCCCGCCCACCTTGAAGGGCCCCATCTGTCAGCTTTTCAGTGGTGGGACTCGGGAGAGCTTTTCTTGATCTGTCCACTCACAGGACACAGTAGCCAATCAAAAGGATTGTCAGCTCACGTGCTTAGGCATACTGTCTTCTCTCCCTTGGTCTTGGATTGTGTACTGTTTGTTTATTTATTTATGATAATAATTATTATTATTTTTGTAATTGTTAAGAGAAAGATAGGTCTAAAGATTTGGCCTCTCCTGACATTTTAGAAACTGTTATAGCTGTCTTACTGTGGGGTGATTTATTACATAAAATTCTTCGTTGTGTTCCGTAAATTGAATGTTCAAAAATTCAAGTGGAATAAACAGGACGAGATGTGAATCAATTTCAAATAAAAAAATATTATACATATGTATCGGTGCTAAAGACCTGATGTCTTTTGCGTCAGGTCAGCATGATTTCTACAAAAACGTTTTCATGTTAATGCCAACAGAATATTAGTCACTAAATAAAGATATTATTAGCGGACAATAAGGGGGGAATTGGTTCTTCTAGAACATGTAGACAAGCACTTGTGCGCCAGATTAGCATGTTAGGTGTCGTTTCAACGCTGAATGGAGTCACATTCTTTTTGGATTAGGGCCTATATGACTGCACTGCGCTTTTACAACGACCGGTAATGCACAGGTAGTTTTTATCTATTCTTTTTTCAAATCTCATTCCAGAGTTTTTGCTTGCAGTCATGCAATGTTTTTGTGAAAATAACAACGTGGACGATTTTCTATGTGCGCAATTGTTGGCAACTTTATGGTGGAAATGGCTACAGAAAAACAAACGCTGGAGTGGAGAATGCATTACCTTTATGTTTTACTAGGTATTCAAATATCTCTGACAGGCGGACTGCGTTACAGTAGCAGAGCACAATGCGCAGTATTGCGCCTTCACATGGTGCAGCATATTTAAAGTTTCCCATTTTTCTATAAAAACTTAACTTTCATTTTTATATAATTTTTTTCCAAGATTTACAAGAAAAATTGCATTGATGTTTATGTGACTAATTTTTTTTTAGTTTTGTTTATTTTCATTTTTTCTGTTTACTACGACCCTTCCTTCAGCTGTGAACGAGAGGTTAAATTTTTTTAAAGAAAAGAGAAAAATCCAATCTAATTCCCGGATTCCCCTTAATGCTGAAATCACAGAATTAAAAAAAATATCTGCACTTAATCCTCTGAATGTTCCTTTTTTAGCATTATATTCTTGTATTCAATCGAGTGTGCTCAGTATCAGACTCATTACTGTCCTAAAATACCTGTCGTGAAATATGGTAGCTGAAAAAGGAAACGTCAAGCCCGAGTTCAGCAATAAACACTTTTCCGGTATCATAATTTATAATTGTTAGATTTATTCTATCTAATCAATAGACAGTCCAAAAATAATAGCAGGGACAAAATCAAAATTTTAAGTTTCTAAAGGAAAGCTGCTTAAGCTGAATGAGGCACTATTTATCTAATGGACTTAAACGCGGGGCAAAAAGTAAAGCATTGAATAGAGAAGGGCAAAACAAAAGTTGATATCTCGGTTTCCAGACGCCATTTACTTCTTGTGCTGCCTTAATTGTGAAGAGACACAAGGAATACCCGGCTTTCCACACTCCAAGCCCCAAATATCAATAAAACACGGGAAACGGACCGATCTGAATCTCCGTATTTACAGATATCATGTAACAACAACGTCAATATCTTGTGGTTCCTATTGTCAGGAGTGATGTCTATTTGTTGACTTGCAAAGTCCACATCATTTCATAAGCTTGGATCAAGTTTCGCCAGTACGGATTCAAGCGGTTTTCAAAACAACGGTGGTCGCCCGGCACTCGTTGTTCAGATTTGTTGAACATCGCATTAGCGAGCGTCGGTATTTTGTTTAGAAGGACTGGGGGAATAAACGGACCCGATTATGTCAAACCTAGCGGCCCCGATCTAGTATTTAAACTTATTCTGACCTTTAGAATAACACCTGTGCTACGGAAGGTGGGCGTCATACAGGCCAGGGGCAAGACTGACAAGCATTGTGCCCCTTTCAGGCATTGGTATTGGAAGGACAATATCTGCGTTATTCTTACATGTTCAATGACACGACTTTCCGGAAGCGTGTGGACATTGGAAATGCCCTTGGGCAGACAGGGCGCGGTGTGAAGGTAGGAAACGCAGACTTGTGTCAAGGTTTTCAGGCCTAAGATTGCTTCAAGGGGTAATCGAATTGTCAAAACTTGTAAATGGAGAGAGAGAGAGAGAGAGAGAGAGAGAGAGAGAGAGAGAGAAAGAGAGAGAGAGAGCTAAAGTAATGCGTTAAGCCGTTAAAGTAAAATAAATAGTGAAATTTTTAAGCTACTGTATCTTTAAATGTGAATCGAGTCGTGGACGTGCCTGGAAAAAATGACTTTTGAGTTACTTTTCTGTATCCCATTTCGCATGACTTTAATAAATGTATAAAATGCATAATGCTGCATTTTCCACCCAGTAGTGTTTATAATACTTTACTCTCACTACCAGGGTCTATCTCTAGAAAGTTGGATGTGTAACTTACCATATAGAATGTATTATTATTATTATTATCATTATTATTATTATTATTATTATTATTATTTATCTCTGTACATCTCCACCAGCTTAGTCTGCTTCATAAGTAGGGCCTATAAATTCAGAATATATGCATAAGCATCATTCTTAGTACGATGAAATTCGAATAAAAATCACATGAAATTGTATACAGTACCACAAAAAATAAAAATAAAAAACGGCATATTGATTGAATAAAGTTTTACGACAGCACCAATATAGTGCTTTCATGAGGCCGGGAGAACAACCCCAAATCTTCGTCATATACTTATCTCTTTAAGTGCATTGGCCATTTCACGACGGCCTTCAAAGCGGTAAAACATAGAACTAGACTACTGACCAAGTAGCCGTTGTCCAGCTAGGCCAATGTTTTGGTAGTTGGAGTAATTTATGAAATATTATCTCCGCATTATAGGCCATTCACGTCCCGTCAAGTGCCTATTCTCGCCTCTCTTTTGTTGGGGCATGGTTTTTACGGCGTGGCTATCTGAACGTATGTGGATATAGCCGAGATTTATTTAGGAACCGCGGTCAAATGTTGTCAAATAAATCAGTTGACACTTCAGAGGCCGCTGAGATATTTTACTGTCTTTGTTGTCGTTTTATTGAGTTGACAGTTCATTCGCTGGCTCGGCAAATTTAAAAGCTGCACCCAGCACCGCTTTAACTATAATCGTTGTTTGATTAACGTCATGTAATGTTATCTCTAAATAATATGATCAGCAAAATAAACAGGTAGATTGGCCCATTTAAGGACATCGCGCGGTCCGCTTACAATAGCCCCTACGCCTTGCAAATTTGCAACCAAACCCTCTTCTCTTTTGAATTAGCCCAGAAACAGTTTTAATTAAAAACGTCGCTGTATGCAGCCTTATATTATGTGCAGGATTAGGGGTAATCTCCAATATATTGACTTGGATCGGGATAAATGTTCATCTCCTGGATACATTAACTAAGAATATGTTAATCCGTTTGTAAAGATTGATGCACTGAAGAATGCTGCACCTGCGCTCACGTGAAATGAAGAGAGTGCGCATTCGTTTACTTATTAGATTTGTTATTCTAATGACCTGCGATGAAAGTAATTAAATTTATTTTCTTTTGAATTGCCGACTCTTTTTGAAGTTTTGGCATTAGATGAAGAGAAAGGAGAAAAATGACCAAAGGTAAGAGGTGAGATGATAATTCTTTCTGAGTGGACATTTGCCCCTAAAATCGCTTCTGAAATGTACCTTTAACCTTTTCTCCCTAAAAAAATAACATAAGGAGACAAAACTAGAAATTTTCCTTTCAATGAACAACATCTCACACTAGACCTACCCTCGTCTACTGTTTTTATTTTTCCCAAGCAAATCCAGGCTCAAGTATTATCTTTGTGTCCATCTTCTTGGTGAAATTCTAAATCTGCCAACGAATGTGTGTGTGCTTGTGAAACTCATTCATTATGTTTTTCTTCGACTATATATCTAACGGTAATATTTTGTACTCTCTCTCTCTCTCTCTCTCTCTCTCTCATAGAAAAACACACAAACCATTCTGCCAACGCATACTGAAGTACCGATATCTTAGCGACATCATATCCCAGATACCGCGACACGAGACCACGATTTACTACAAAGGGCACGTGCCTTAATAAAACGGCCACAGGGTGTAATGACTGCGAGCCGCACGCCAGACTGTGAATTGGAGTAGAGATAAAATACGAAATTGCTTCCGTCGAAATCTCAGTTTTATTGAATGCCTCATTGGTTGGAGGTTGTCTGATATTGAAAATTGTTTTCAACAATTTTGGATCTCTAAGTAACAAATTGCTAGGTATAGGAGAGAAGAAAATAGTATCAAAACAATTTATGGAATATTTTATTGATGAAAGTTGGCTTTTTGAGTTTCGATTTTATAGTCGAATATAGTGAAATTTACAATAAGAAGACAGATGGGTAATTAAACGTTATACATATGCACCTGTGATGCCTGATACAAAAACGGAAAAGAAAATATTGAAATGGATATCATAGTCGGAAATTTTATTTACTACTAGAGATTTATAGTGAAATACTGATGCGAAGCGAAAGTGACGAAGAGTGTGATAACTTGCTGGAACACAAAAACAGGCAATCGAAGATGTATTTCGTCGATCTGCAAAATGTAAAAAGAGTGAATGAAAAATTATGCTCCAAATAGTTTGCACCTACTTTTTGCTTCGATTATCCTATATCCAATACACATAAGCAAATGGAATTTTTGGTTTCTTAATTATGTAATAGAAAAACCTCTCTTATCTCCAAGAGAGCGCATCCGCGCGCGTGCATAGTGTGCCGCTACCAACAAGGTTCCTCGAGTGCTTTTCAATCGAGCCTCGCGCGGTGGTGTTTGCACTGTCATATCATAACCAGAGAAAACATGGAAACGCCGAAGCGGTACTTAAGTTCTGCTCCGCAGACGTCTCACAGACATTTTAACCGACTATTTGTTGCTCGTGCTTGTGACGTTCGCTAGACGTCCTTCCTTGGGTTTTAAATGCAGACAGGATATTAATTTTTACATGCGGTGATTTTTAGTTGGGCAATATAACAGTATTTGTTGGATCTGCCACGTATGATTTGTGGATATACTTATAAGAAGTTTTTATGCCTAAAAAAAATGAAAAAAAAAAAAAAAAAAACGACAAACAGCAGACCTGAACAAAATTTAATTGTTGAATGGCAAAATGGAAGCTTTTTACATGTACAATGTATTATGGATTTTTCTTTGGTCAAAAAAGCAAACGGTTTCTTTATCTTGCAATTTGTGATTTAAGCAGCATATGTAGAAAATGATCATTTTTTAAAATTTTTATCCTTACGAGATATTGAAATTAAAAAAAAAAACATACAAGGCAAATAAAGTGCACTGTGTGTTGTCACAGTTGTTGGTTTCAAAGAGGGGAAGTATTTCAGCATTTTCGTAGTTTTATGTTTTTAATTCAACATAAATTATTTCAAACCCCATCTTATATTTTCGTTGCCAGTTAAAAGAGATTTTCACCATTTATCCCAAACCTTGAATTCATAACATTTACTACTGCTCATTTAGTTTTCATATTTATTAATTTTGTACTACTTTAAGTGTGATGCAGCTCCACTGAGTTCTTTGACTTAGTACTTAGCTACATTACGCGTCTTTAAAAAGTCCTCAATATCCTGAGCTAATTCTAGACCAGTGATTTGTTTAACGTTTTTCATTAGAAGTCACTATTAGACGCTGAAGAGCAGTGTAAATGTTGGGTAGAAATATATTGAAATTTGATGTCAGGATGACGTTACGGAATGATTGAGTTCAAGTTTCCAGTACGAAGACCGTTGATCTGAAACTGTTCGGCGCTCCAAATTCCTTTTAAACCATTATCATTTGTGAATTCAACATTTGTTATAGATATAGTGTGTTTTATTCAGAAATACCGCCCAAGTTGTTTCATGCCACTTTTTTTTTTAATTTTTGTGTGTACAATATGGATTTCTTTTTTGTATTTATTTATTTAGGCCTATTTATTTATTTATTAAAGCAGCTATTTATTTATTCTGTAAAGAAAATTTGTGCATGAAATAGGCCTACTTGTCAATAAAAGTGATTATCTGAGTACCATATTTTCGATTCTTCTTTACCTTAGTGTCAACTGACAACATTTAACTTTTAATTTTCATCTATTTCGACAAAAACTGCGTCTTTCTAGGCCAAACAATTTCTCCTTAAACTAAAACCTTGACCAATCACTATTTCATTTAACACAGAGTGAGAAATGTCTTTCTATCCAGAAAATAATCCTTTTATGACAATTATATTTATTCTGGCAATCTGGGAGATAGGACTTAATTCTAGCACCATTATTTCCTTTTATTGTCATGATGGACACTTACAGCGTTCACATTAACTTAAGGTCCCGGCAATAACGGCCCTTATCTTATCTAGAACGTTGCTCTTTTACACGACGCCGGAAAGGAACGCTTGCAGCGCACACGCCGTACGCGCCTAAGTGATTTGTTAAGAACGTACGCACGTGTTGTGACGCGCATAAACGATTTGCTCGCACGTGCAAAAGACGTAATCTCGTGGCAACTGCTTTATGTCATACTAATTTAACCACGTGCTCTCGCCAATCACTCCCTCGAAACGGTCCGATTTAACGAATTAGTCGCTGTAGCGGCGGGGTGCCGGGAAACAAATTGGATCAGAGGAGAGAGAAGTGAAAGCAAAGTGCGGCATATTATCCCCTGTTATTATCATTTGACTTTATCAGGTAATGCTTCTGCACTGCGCCATAATGAGCTGATTGTGCACGACATCACGTCTGTCTTCTTAGAGGAGAAATTAATGAGACAGTTTTTCTAATGTTATTATTTTCATACGTCACTGATCTCTCTTTCTCTCTTTCTATCTCTCGCTCATTCTCTCTCTCTCTCTCTCTCTCTCTCTCTCTCTCTCCCACCCCTTAGCATGTAATATGTAAATAGGCCTACATTTCTTTGAAATATTTCTACTTTCACTTATTTCTTTATAACCAACCTATTGCTGATAACTTACTTTAAAAATATTTTAACCATTTTTTGCTACCTTTTGATATTTTTTTCCAGAATTTGTTTTAAAAATGAGGCAATACCTTTCAGCGTTTTTACAGATTTCACCCACTTCTTGTTTTCATTTTTTCTTTTCAAATCATTCTCGGAAACCGATGGCAATACGCACAATGATGACTGCCACCTCAGTTTTCTGTTGTCATCATTTTAATGAACACAACGCAAGAAACAGAAATTGCCGCAGATTTTGTGCACAGATAGCATAAAATTGTAGTCAAACAAAAGACACCAAATAAAATGATTGTAACAATCAACTTAATCTCAACAATGAAAATTATCGTTGTAATTAGCATGTGTGGTCTGTGACATGGATTTGCATGATGGATTTTATTATCGATACAGTCCGTGATATTCATTGATACAAAACCACCTCTAAAGTTGATATCGTATGGAACTCGTAAAGAAAATGTCGAGGATATTATGAAAAGGTAGTAACAGAGGAATACGACCCTACAGAACTTATAAAAAAAAAGGTCTTCATCATAAACACTCCTACCACTGCGGTGTCTCATTACGGCAATCTCCAGAAAACCAATTAACCATGGCCTTGCTGCTATGTTTGCTGTTTATCACAAAACAATAAGATCCACTCAGAAAAAAAATCGTGTCATTTCTTAAGGGTTAGAAGGCGTGAATGAAATTAAAATGTATTATGCGCCACAATTCGGTGATTAATTTCAAGGGAAATCTAATGAAGCGGGTAGGTTTACCGTTGCTGTGCGCTACTCATTCACTATGGCCGTGATTGTTCGGAGTCCTGCTATTGTTACGAAAAGCCATGGTGGCAATTAGCCATCTGCCGCGCTTTGAGCCCCGTCCTGGCATCTGTGGAGATGGGTGAGGGAGCCTCGCGCGCAAGCTCCAACTACATGCGAAGACGCGCGTCAATGGCTTGATTCTGCATCTCGATTGAGCTTCTTGGGCAAAAGTCAAATGTTGGCCAATTTTAATAATTTAAATAATATTTTAAAAAAATAATCTTCTTCATCTTAATTGTTGATTTATCATACCTTCTTCCTTTTTTTAAGTTTCTAATAGTATCCAAGGGAATTTTTTATTCCTAGTGATGTGCCTTTTTTTAATACGACAAAAGTTTATATTTTCCTCGAGTGTAAGCGTAGGTTGACCATCATTCTAGAGAACCAATATATTATATTATATTATATTATATTATATTATATTATATTATATTATATTATATTATATTGCGAGGAATCGTGGATTGGTTTGGGTCAGTTTATCTAGAAATGCATTTATTCTTTCAAATATCTTAGCGGCGAGCAGCCTTTTTCTACCAGCAAATCATCCCATGTTGATCTACTTGGCAATCTACATATCGTTTTTCATTATTTGTCACAAACATTTAGAGCTATTACATGATCGTCTGTAATGGCTTCTTACGCCATCTGCGCACGTTGACCCCACCCGCCAAAATATCTTTCCTGGGTCAATACGTGTTAAGCCAATGGAGCGCGTCAGTTAATGACGGGTTTACAAAGGTGAGGGTATAAAGTCTAGTATCAGTGAAATGAAGAAATATTTTAATCATTTCTGCTCTGTATTGACATTATCCGCCGTCTTTTCAAGAACGTAATAAGCGTTTGTACACAGGCCATCTGCTCTTCTTGATCCATTTCTGCGGCCTTCCTCCTAAGCAAGTAACCTGTTACAGCGGTGGCGTGCATCCGCGCGTAAAACGTGCACTGAAGTTGTTTAATTGGTCGGGCAACAGTCTGTCGTGGCTCCGTCAATACACAGACTTATCAAAAACATAACATATTTTACACTTTAATGGGCATTTGTTAGAGTAATGTTTAACAAGTCAGGCAAAACACATTTAGAAAGAGACAACTGTAGCGTGCTTACATGTGATCGATATACATGTACATGTTATTGTGAGCCGCAATGTGTTCCAGTTCAAGTGTGTACGTGTAGCCTACGCGTGCGTGTGTGTGCGTGTGCTTGTGCGTGTGTGTGCGTGTGCTTGTGCGTGTGTAAAAGTAACATCAAAATATATTGGTACTTTTATATGTATTGGTAAAACATTATTTATTCATTTATTTGTTAGTGTGTTTATTTAGGCTATTTGTTAGTTAGTTTATTTATTGTTTGTTTGTTTTCTATTTGCTTTCCTATCCATCAGTTCATTCCCCCTGCTTTAAGTTATGTTTTAAACGCACATGTAGCGTCAAAATGAATCGTTAGAAATGAGGAGCAGTTTTATTTTAAGAGCAGTAAAGATACACAAAAGGAAGGGGGACGTTTTGCAACAATGTTGTCATCAATGAGAAGCATCTTGTTCACACTGCCCCCTATCGACAGCAAAGACTGTTTACATGGATTCCAAGATGGCCGGTGAACAAAATGATCCCGGTGCATCTATAATGCAAGAATTACAAGAGCATCTAAGAACGGCAAACATTCCACTAAATAATTTGTCGAGTATAGCACAAAAGGGAGACGATAAGGTAAGGTCAGCTTGGTTTCGCCTTGCAGTTAAAGGTTTATTGTCGTGTTGTTAATGCCATTCTCTACTCCCACGACTTTGCGGTTTGCTCCAGCCTTTCAAGGTGCTTGTTACCTGCAGTAACCTAAGTACCTAGCATGTAAAAATTGTAACAACGTAATTTGTCTGCGTGTGACCTTATGGAGGAAAAGGTCGCTGGTCAAGGTTCCCCTATGGAAATTGTAAGTGTACATGTCGGAGCGTACACACTGTAAAACATGTCCTGGTGTCCTGTGCAACAGTCCTCTCACAGAAGACGTGGGGGAGAGATTTATTATCTTGGAAATCAGATCAGTCACAGTTCTTTTGGGAAAGACATATACTAGTTATATGTGTTAATATGTGTATCTCTTCATATCCATCTTGACGGCTTGACTTGCTTGTATTGTGAAAAAATAAATATAATGATATTTTAGTGTTCTTTAAACCCTGTACTACACACATGTACTTTTGCTCACACTTCAGAATGGATAAACTTTCTGTCTATATATAAGACAAAAAAAAACTGAGGCAAAAAACTTGCGCAGCCTCATATGGGTATGGGAAGTGATAACAAACACTCTCTTTAATGTTTGTAATTGTAGATTGCATACCAGTAATTATTCTAGGGGGATCAGTGGTGGGGTTATATGTTGCAAAATACACATTGTGAATCAATTTTATGCACCTGAAACCTCTCTTGCTTCTCTGTTTACAGTTATTTGTATTACTAGTAAATATTTTGTATTTGTATTGAATATTAGTACCAAAATATGTAATGCTAATATGATGGTTATGTCACATCTTCATTGACACGGACAATTACCACTAGAGATTGACATGCTCCACATGGAACTGTGTGCCTTGGATGCTTGCAGTTTGTAGATTTCCTTTATTTTGTCCAATTTAAATTTTTACCACTGATTTTGGTTTCTTTCTTTTAGCTGGTGGAGCAATTCTTATCAGAGAATATAGAGCTGGAATCAGCAGGACCTAATGCCCTCCAGAGTCAGTTGTACATAGGTAAGTGCTGGTTCTGGCCCCAGTTTCACAAAAAAAAAAAAAAAAAAACAACTTAAGTCAGTTACCTGATTTAGTTGACTATGATTTCCATGAGAGTGCTATTACACTGCTCCTGATAGGGTAAGACTTGCCCATGTGACCATGTAACCTTGGTAATTAAGTTCTTAGCCAGGGAACCCGACTTAAGTTTTTTTTGTGAAACTGGGACCTGGGTATATACTGTACCACTTATGCCCTAGTTACATGTGTGTGGAGACACAGTTAGTAGCGACACCTGTACATTGAAGATACCAACCCTTCTTGATACCTGAACAATATTTCTATTCAAGCTATATTTTTGTGATGAGCTATACCCATTTTATCTGTTCTTATTAATTTTAATATGTTTTCCTAATTTTTATAACTTTGTATGTTGCTTGTGATGCACTCCAAATATCCTTTGAAGTTTACATAGTCACACCAACTGCTGATTGCTTATTATTATTTCAGCTTGTTTTTGGGGTGTGAAGGACATTGCCAGAGCACTTCTGATGAAAGGAGCAGGTGAGATAAGACAAAATCGGATAGAAATAAATTGGCTTTTTTTTTTTTTTTTTTTTTTTTTTTTGACTCTGTACATTTCTGTACTGTGTCTAGTAAGAATTTTTGCTATGAATTTCAGAAATAATATACAAGCTGGGCTGGGGTTGAAATGGCTTTCTTGAGGTGCATACAGTAGTATTTCAAAATACCCTGAATAAACCATTCTTTTGCATAAAAAATTCCAGCAATGTGTGTGTGTGTGTGTGTGTGTATGTGTGTGTGTGTTGAGGGGGCAGAAGAAGAACTGCATCCACCTTTTATTTGTATCCTGGGTAAGGTTCCAGTTAATCATTTCCATCGTGTTATGGCCACACTTCACTGAGAGGAGGTTGATAAACTGTCACACCTAACACAATATTGGCTGTGTTTCCAGATGTGAATGCCAGGAATAGCACAACCCTGTGGACTCCCCTGCATGCTGCTACATTCCAGGAACATGGTCCTGTGAGTTGACAGTTGACTATTTATTTATTTATTTATTTATTTATTTATTTATTTATTTATTTTAAATCACTGTTAATACCATTACCATATGGCCCTTTTAAGACTGTCTGCTATAATACACAGTACAAGCACATTGTGTTTTTACCACCAAGAAGACTCAATAATATTCACTGCCTGAAATACTATAATAGCGCATATACTGCATAAAACATTCATCCATGGCAGTTTTTTATTATATTATATTATATTATATTATATTATATTATATTATATTATATTATATTATATTATATTATATTATATTATATTATATTATATTATTTGGCAACCCAACTCTGGAAGTAATGGACAGAATTGGATAAAATTTTCAGGATAGATCAGAAGTGGGATAACTTAGAATTGATTGGATTTTGGTTGGGATCCATGAATAAGCTGTCTTGGTGGAGGTTTGTGTTCTCTGATTGCTTGTCTAGTCTGCTCTGTAGTCTGTTTTATGTACCAATGTTTTTGNAACCCCGTCCTGGCATCTGTGGAGATGGGTGAGAGAGCCTCGCGCGCAAGCTCCAACTACAAGCGAAGACGCGCGTCAATGGCTTGATTCCGCATCTACTCGATTGAGCTTTTTGGGCAAAAGTCAAATGTTGGCCAATTTTAATAATTTAAATAATATTTAAAAATATAATAATCTTCTTCATCTTAATTGTTGATTTATCATACCTTCTTCCTTTTTTTAAGTTTCTAATAGTATCCAAGGGAATTTTTTATTCCTAGGGATGTGCCTTTTTTTAATACGACAAAAGTTCATATTTTCCTCGAGTGTAAGCGTAGGTTGACCATCATTCTAGAGAACCAATATATAATATAATATAATATAATATAATATAATATAATATAATATAATATAATATAATATAATATAATATAATATAATATAATATAAAATAATATATTATATTATATTATATTATATTATATTATATTATATTATATTATATTATATTATATTATATTATATTATATTGCGAGGAATCGTGGATTGGTTTGGGTCAGTTTATCTAGAAATGCATTTATTCTTTCAAATATCTTAGCGGCGAGCAGTTTTTTTCTACCAGCAAATCATCCCATGTTGATCTACTTGGCAATCTACATATCGTTTTTCATTATTTGTCACAAACATTTAGAGCTATTACATGATCGTCTGTAATGGCTTCTTACGCCATCTGCGCACGTTGACCCCACCCGCCAAAATATCTTTCCTGGGTCAATACGTGTTAAGCCAATGGAGCGCGTCAGTTAATGACGGGTTTACAAAGGTGAGGGTATAAAGTCTAGTATCAGTGAAATGAAGAAATATTTTAATCATTTCTGCTCTGTATTGACATTATCCGCCGTCTTTTCAAGAACGTAATAAGCGTTTGTACACAGGCCATCTGCTCTTCTTGATCCATTTCTGCGGCCTTCCTCCTAAGCAAGTAACCTGTTACAGCGGTGGCGTGCATCCGCGCGTAAAACGTGCACTGAAGTTGTTTAATTGGTCGGGCAACAGTCTGTCGTGGCTCCGTCAATACACAGACTTATCAAAAACATAACATATTTTACACTTTAATGGGCATTTGTTAGAGTAATGTTTAACAAGTCAGGCAAAACACATTTAGAAAGAGACAACTGTGGCGTGCTTACATGTGATCGATATACATGTACATGTTATTGTGAGCCGCAATGTGTTCCAATATTCAAGTGTGTGTAGCCTACGCGTGCGTGTGTGTGCGTGTGCTTGTGCGAGTGTAAAAGAACATCAAAATATATTGGTAATTTTATATGTATTGGTAAAACATTATTTATTCATTTATTTGTTAGTTTGTTTATTTATTTGTTAGTTAGTTTGTTTGTTTTCTGTTTGCCTTCCCATCCATCATTTCATTCCCCCTGCTTTATTTTATGTTTTAACGCACATGTAGCGTCAAAATGAATCGTTAGAAATTAGGAGCAGTTTTATTTTAAGAGCAGTAAAGATACACAAAAGGAAGGGGGACGTTTTGCAACAATGTTGTCACCAATGAGAAGCATCTTGTTCACACTGCCCCCTATCGACAGCAAAGACTGTTTACATGGATTCCAAGATGGCCGGTGAACAAAATGATCCCGGTGCATCTATAATGCAAGAATTACAAGAGCATCTAAGAACTGCAAACATTCCACTAAATAATTTGTCGAGTATAGCACAAAAGGGAGACGATAAGGTAAGGTCAGCTTGGTTTCGCCTTGCAGTGAAAGGTTTATTGTCGTGTTGTTAATGCCATTCTCTACTCCCACGACTTTGCGGTTTGCTCCAGCCTTTCAAGGTGCTTGTTGCCTGCAGCAACCTAAGTACCTAGCATGTAAAAATTGTAACAACGTAATTTGTCTGCGTGTGACCTTATGGAGGAAAAGGTCGCTGGTCAAGGTTCCCCTATGGAAATTGTAAGTGTACATGTCGGAGCGTACACACTGTAGAACATGTCCTGATGTCCTGTGGAACAGTCTTCTCACAGCAGACGTGGGGGAGAGATTTATTATCTTGGAAATCAGATCAGTCACAGTTCTTTTGGGAATGACATATACTAGTTATATGTGTTAATATGTGTATCTCTTCATATCCATCTTGACAGCTTGACTTGCTTGCATTGTGAAAAAATAAATATAATGATATTATAGTGTTCTTTAAACCCTACACACATGTACTTTTGCTCACACTTCAGAATAGATAAAAGTCTATGTCTGTCTATAAGACAAAAAAACTGAGGCAAAAAACTTGCGCTCTTATGGGTATGTGAACTGATAACAAACACTATCTCTTTAACGTTTGTAATTGTAGATTGCATACCAGTAATTATTCTAGGGGGATCAGTGGTGGGGTTATATGTTGCAAAATACACATTGTGAATCAATTTCATGCACCTGAAACCTCTCTTGCTTCTCTGTTTACAGTTATTTGTATTACTAGTAAATATTTTGTATTTGTATTGAATATTAGTACCAAAATATGTAATACTAATATGATGGTAATGTCACATCTTCATTGACACGGACAATTACCACTAGAGATTGACATGCTCCACATGGAACTGTGTGCCTTAGATGCTTGCAGTTTGTAGATTTCCTTTATTTTGTCCAATTTTACCACTGATTTTGGTTTCTTTCTTTTAGCTGGTGGAGCAATTCTTATCAGAGAATATAGAGCTGGAATCAGCAGGACCTAATGCCCTCCAGAGTCAGTTGTACATAGGTAAGTGCTGGTTCTGGCCCCAGTTTCACAAAAAAAAAAAAACTTAAGTCAGTTACCTGATTTAGTTGACTATGATTTCCATGAGAGTGCTATTACACTGCTCCTGATAGGGTAAGACTTGCCCATGTGACCATGTAACCTTGGTAATTAAGTTCTTAGCCAGGGAACCCGACTTAAGTTTTTTTGTGAAACTGGGACCTGGGTATTTACTGTACCACTTATGCCCTAGTTACATGTGTGTGGAGACACAGTTAGTAGCGACACCTGTACATTGAAGATACCAACCCTTCTTGATACCTGAACAACATTTCTCTTCAAGCTATATTTTTGTGATGAGCTATACCCAGTTTATCTGTTCTTTTTAATTTTAATATGTTGTCCTAATTTTTATAACTTTCTATGTTGTTTGTGATGTACTCCAAATATCCTTTGCAGTTTACATATTCACACCAATTGCTGATTGTTTATTTTTGTTTCAGCATGTTTTTGGGGTGTGAAGGACATTGCCAGAGCACTTCTGATGAAAGGAGCAGGTGAGATAAGACAAAATCTGATGGAAATAAATTGCCTTTTTTTTTTTTTTTTTGACACTGCGTATATATCTATACTGTGTTCAGTAAAAATTTTTGCCCTGAAATTCAGAAATATTATCATCATCCACAAGCTGGTCTCAGGTAGAGGTGGCTTTCTTGAGGTGCATACAGTAGTATTTCAAAATACCCTGAATAAACCATTCTTTTGCATAAAAAATTCCAGCAATGTGTGTGTGTGTGTGTATGTGTTTGTGTGTTGAGGGGGCAGAAGAAGAACTGCATCCACCTTTTATTTGTATCCTGGGTAAGGTTCCAGTTAATCATTTCCATCGTGTTATGGCCACACTTCACTGAGAGGAGGTTGATAAACTGTCACACCTAACACAATATTGCCTGTGTTTCCAGATGTGAATGCCAGGAACAGTACAACCCTGTGGACTCCCCTGCATGCTGCTACATTCCAGGAACATGGTCCTGTGAGTTGACAGTTGACTATTTATTTATTTATTTATTTATTCATTTATTTATTTATTTATTTATTTATTTTAAATCACTGTTAATACCATTACTATATAACCCTTTTAAGACTGTCTGCTATAATACACAGTACAAGCACATTGTGTTTTTACCACCAAGAAGACTCAATAATGTTCACTGCCTGAAATACTATAATAGAGCATATACTGCATAAAACATTCATCCATGGCAGTTTTTTATTTTATTTTATATTATTTTATTTTATTTTATTTTATTTTATTTTATTATTTGGCAACCCAACTCCGGAAGCATTGGACAGAATTGGATAAAATTTTCAGGAGAGATCAGAATTGGGATAACTTAGAATTGATTGGATTTTGGTTGCGATCCATGAATAAGCTGTCTTGGTGGAGGTTTGTATTCTCTGATTGCTTGTCTAGTCTGCTCTGTAGTCTGTTTTATGTACCAATGTTTGTGACAATTATTTTACCCAGTTCCTTTGGTTTCCAGGTAGTTATGCTTTTATTAGACAATGGAGCTGATCCTAATTCTAAAGATGCTGAAGGAAGGTAAGTCTCTCTGTCCTAACCCTGTAACCACTAACGATGTTTATAAACTCAGCAATTTGGAAGCTGCAGAATTGGAAGGGCCAATTACGGAGGCAGAAGCAGCACAGGCATTATCTAAAATGAAATCGAACAAATCCCTGGGAACTGACGGCTTTTCAGTTGAATTTCATAAGCTCTTTTGTTGTCAGGTCAATTAATTTTGCTTACCAGACTGGCCAGTTATTGGTGATGCAAAAACAAGGTATAATTACTTGCCTCCAGAAGGGAGATAAACCACGCCACTTTCTTAAAAACTAGCACTCCATATCACTTCTCAATACTATATACAAGATCATCTCGGGTTCGATAGCTGCTAGGGTAAAACTAGTGTTAGATAAATTAATATATCTGGAACAAACCGGATTCATGGCTGGTAGATATGTTGGAGAGAACACTCGACTTATATACGATACAATGCAGTATACTGAGGAAGAAAATATTGACTTTGAAAAGGCATGCCATTCCTTGTCTTGGTCATTCATTCAAAAGGTTCTAACCTTTTTTAACTTTGGTGATTCAGTCAGGAGATGGGTATCATTGTTCTACAATGACATCTCTGCTACAGTAAATCAAGGGATGTTGGAATTCTTTAAAATTAAAAGAGGATGCCGTCAGGGGGATCCCCTCTCACCCTATCTCTTTATTCTATGTGCCGAAATATTGGCGGCGTTTATACGAAACAAGAAAATATAAAGGGTATTAATACAGGTGCAAAAGAATTAAAAATTTCATTATATGCAGATGACACTACTCTTATACTTGACGGGAGTGAAATGTCACTGAATGAATGTATGTTCGTCTTGGATAAATTTCCGAAGATCTCCAGTCTGCATATCAATCTCTCTAAAACTGAAGTTATATGGATTGGGTCTAAGCGATACTCTAAAGATATCCTCTGCCCAAAATATAGATTAGATTGGGGAAAAACTAGTTTCAAAATGCTAGGGCTAGAATTTGACGTAGATTTAGGTGAGATAATGAAGTAAAATATGGAGACCAAATTAACTTCCATGAAAAAATATTTAATCAGTGGAAAGTAAGAAATATAACACCAATTGGTAAAATAACAGTAATAAAAACATTAGCCTTGCCAGTATTGAACCATATATTTATATCGCTCCCAAACCCAGAGGAAAAACAGATTAAAGAATTAGAAAAGGGTCTTTTTTCTTTTCTCTGGAATAATAAACCTGATAAAATTAAAAGAAATATCATGATAAGAGATTATAAAGCTGGGGGCTTGAGGATGGTAAGCGTGAGGCATTTTATAATATCGTTAAAAATTACATGGGTAAGAAGACTTATGTTGGAAAATAAAGAATGGAAAAATATTATATCTAAATATGTAGACACTGAAAAACTAATCACATGTGGTACAGAATATATCTAAAAAATCTTGAAAAACATAAAAAGTAGATTCTGGGTAGATGGCTTAGCAGCCTGGAAAGAACTATGTGGTACAATAATGGCCAATAAAATCAAGGATTTTGGCAACATTCCACTCTTTCTTAATAAAAATATACTTATTGGAAATAAACCTGTCATCTATAGATCGTGGTATGACAAAAACAGATTTGTTAATGATCTACTCCTGGACTCTATGACTTCACTGCATTCAGGGATATCCATGGTATTGACAAAAATTTTGTTGAATACCATGGAATTATCTCAACCATAAAAGAATGGCTTGGTGGTATTCCTGAAAAATTACCTAAAATGGCCACTCCTTTAATACCTGATCATATATTGTTGCTGTCAGGTTGTTCTAAAGGCTCAAAGATTTATTATAAAACTTTAAGTAGAGTAGGTGTTCTTGAGATGTCAAAAGGTATGAATAAATGGAAGGTGTGTTAAATTTGGAGAAAAATGAATGCCTGAAGTTTTTTGAACTTCCTTTCACAATAACAAAAGACTCAAAGCTTAAGTGGTTCCAATTTTGAATTAATCATTATATCCTTACCACAAATTCACTGCTTTTCAATTATAAAATGGTCGACAACAGTATATGTTCCCTTTGCAAAGGAGCTGAAGAAACAACAGAGCATTTAAGTAAAGTAGGTGTTCTTGAGATGTCAAAAGGTATGAATAAATGGAAGGTGTGTTAAATTTGGAGGAAAATGAATGCCTGAAGTTTTTTGAACTTCCTTTCACAATAACAAAAGACTCAAAGCTTCAGTGGTTCCAATTTTGAATTAATCATAATATCCTTACCACAAATTCACTGCTTTTCAATTATAAAATTGGTCGACAACAGTATATGTTCCCTTTGCAAAGGAGCTGAAGAAAAAAGAGAGCATTTATTCTGGAATTGTGTAGTTACCCAAAACTTATTGACCAACTTGGTAGAATATATATTATCCAATACTCAAGTTACTCTACCTGTCTCAAAAAGGAATTGCTTAGTCGGCTCTATGAGCCTCTCTCCAATTGTTAATCTCATTATGTTGCAATTTAAATTTTATATTTATTTAAGAAGATGTTCACAGGGTAAACCAATATTAGGAGGTTTGATTTCATTGCTTAGATATCTGGTGAAATCAGATAAGTCACTCTGTCAGTACACTTCAAATATAATTAAGTTATTTTCAATTTGAATATTTAGCGTACGACAGTGTTATTAATTAAAAAGTGTTATACAGTATAACATCTCTTATGTGTGAGTGTGTGAGCGAGTGTTTGTTTGGTTTGTTTGTTTTTGCATTGTCATGTATTCGTGATGTATTGCGTCAATAAAAAAAAGTCTCTCTGTCCTCCTCCCCCCCCTCTCTCTCTCTCTCTTACACACACACACACACACACACACACACACACACACTATTGCCATCGTTCATTCATTGCTGGTGAATAATTAAGGAGTTCATTTTAAAGTGTGGCATGAATGTGAGGCCTAGATTGCTGTACAAACATTGTTTTGCACGTTGTATGTGCACACACACACACACACACACATGTTCTATCTATCTGTATATGCACACACACATAAACACGATCTTTATATCAGTATATATATATATATATGCATTTGTATCAGGTCCCCCAAAGACTTTGCCTCAGCCTCAGAAAAAATATGGCCGCATTTTGCAGCACTGAATCTCACGAGGACACGAAAACAAGAACTTGTTGAAATGGGAATTATAAAAAAGGTAATCATTTTTTCAGCATTTAGTTATACAAATACAGAACCTAAATATAAATTGTCAGATAACAGTAGACATATTATATATTTCTTTATATCCAAAGATTTCTGTCATATACTAAGTTGTAAACTGCAGTGTGTGCACAATGAAAAAAAAATTGCATTGTATGAACCTAGGGCACTTTATGTCCTTTTTCTTTTACAATTCTTTGTTGAGTGCACAGATTTGACAGAAGAACATCATCATCACTAGTCTAGATGTCTGGTGCAAAAGAACCAATAATCTTTGCCAAAAGGGATAAGAAGTTGCTTTTAGTATTTTTAATCCACCTTTTGTTACAACCGATTCCCTGACATTTCGCCAAGAAAAACGCTCTCCACTTACTCTAATTTTCTACATAAAGAAGTCTTTTAAGCCATGTAAAGTTTAGGGCCTTAGTAAAATTTTTATTTGCGGTACCTTTTACCGTCCATTTTTGTAATCAGACACCATCCTTGCTCATTTTATTTTGTATCTTTTCCCATTCCTGATAAAGTTAAATATGATATGCATATTTT